GCCCGCCATGCCCTGCGCACTACTTCCTCACCAAGGCAGAGCGAACCTGTTTGGTATTCAATCAAATTTCCTAACGTAAAATAATGTCCTCAGTTATTTTCTGGTTATGAAATGAAAGGTCTTAAAGTGAGTAAGGCAGCAGAGGAAAAGAAAACCACAAAACTGACCAGAATCTGTGACCTGGAATAATTACAGAACTGGACCAGACAGCACAGGAAGTTTAACACTTGCTGAATGAGGGAACTAATGCTTTTGTCTCATGATTCTACTTTGTAAGATTTCTGACACATTCCGCCTTATAAATGTTCTGGACTGTTATTCTAAGTTGGAATAAAATAGACATCGGTAGAATACATTTAAATGTTCTGGACTGTTATTCTAAGTTGGAATGAAACAGACATCGGTAGAATACATATAAGACAGAGCAGGTCACATGAAATCGCAGAAACTAGAAATGGATCCATATGCACCAGACTCCTGACTTGGGTCTAAGGACCGAGGGGCTGGCCCGCTACTCTTCTCCTCGCTCTGTTCCTGCCATTCTGCCTCTGTTCCTCAACCCTGCCAGGCTCCTTCCCTCCCTTGCCCTTGATGGTCCCTCCACCAGGAACTTCTCTGAGATGTCCATGTGCCGACTCCCAGTCATCCTCAAGGGATCACTCCTCCAGGAGTTCCCCTCTCCACCCACTCCGCCTGACCACATTGCCCTCTCTCGTTCTCTTTTTGTAGTTCCTACAATTACTCATGTTTGTTTACTGTTTCACCCAGGAAAACATGAGTTCTTACTCTTGTATCCACAATGTCTACAATGGTACCTAAGCACAGTAGGTATTCAATGAGTCGTTCTGAATGAAAGAACAGAGGAAGGGGCTCCTGAGGCGGGGAGTTCATGACAAGGACCTCAGAGAAGGCTGAAATTCCAAGGGGTGGGGTGGGGGGGAGGGAAGACAGCCAAAGAGCTTTCATGGAAAACAGGAACAGGTGAAGTTTCTACAGGCCTCGGCACGGACTGTCCCCGGGAGGTTGGGATCAATAAGGGAACTCTGACAGGGTTTAACTCGAGAATGCTATGATTAGGTTTGGTTTTCTAATATTACCCTGGATTCAATATGAAAAAAATGAATTATAAGGGAGCAAGAAAGGTTAGCAGTTCAGAGGCTGTGACAGCAACTCTGACAGGTAAGGGGGCCACTCACATGGGAGGGTGAGTGGCCACGGCTCCTGTGATGACTGAGAACAGAGTCAAGGCAGACTCAGTGCCCAGCTTGTGGGCAAAGGGGCAGCATCACCAAAATACTAGACATGTCAAAGGGCAGTGAACACTGCCTGGCTGGGCTGTCTCTGAGGCCTCCCATGGAGCTGCTATGAGGGTCGAGGGTTCAGGAAACAGTTCCGGACTGGAAGGAGACAAAGGTTCAAAAACACCATGAATAAGACTGCATTAGTGACCACGGAGGTGAGAGAGATGAATATGGGGGGATTCTGCATTCCTGATAGGGGTCCTGTGAAAGGGGGGTGGTCCTGACGAAGCCCCAGATATAGCCGAGATGGACATTTGAAGAATCCCACATCTGCTCTGAAATTGCCTGAGCCCAGCAGGCAAAGCTGAGGAGAGAAGTGTTTCCAGCTGACTTACTGGGAAGTGCTGGCTATAAAATGGCTTTAAATAAAGAAGTCTCCCAAGGCCAAATGACTGCATTCTCAGCCTCCCTTATCACTAGGCGTGGCTGCGTGACTAAGTTCCAACAAGTATGTGATCTATCTGGGATGTTTCAGCCCAAGGGAAGGGGACACATTCTCCTTCTCTTCCTTTCTCCACCTTATTGCATGAAGCCTGGACGAAATGGCTGGAGCTCTAGCAGCCTGTAGGTCCATGAGGATGAGGGCCAAAGCCAAAATGTGGCAAAGAAATAAAGCAAGAAAGTGCCTGACAACTTCAAGAAACTGCCAAACCTCTTCTTAGGATTGCCTCCTTTCAGACTTTTTTTTTTTTCTTAAAGAGAGAGAAATACACTATCTCACTTAAACCACTGTCATTTGAACCCGTTATGTTGTATGTGTAGATCCTAATCCTAATGGAACATTGAGTCTCCTGCATTGCTTTCCCCTGGCTGTAGGTCACGTCCTTGCCTCGATAGGGAATATCCTCCCCTTTGCCTGTATTTATTTAAATCCTGCCTATGCTTTGGAGGATGGATCAAATTCCACCTCCCACAGGAGACTTCCCTCCCACTTCCTCCCTGAACCCTGGCACTGCCTGCCAACCCCTACTCCTTGGGCATCTGGCCTAAGCTGCCTTCACAGTGGTTCATCCCTCCAGGCTGACCTCCTGACTCCTCAAAGAAGCTCAGGACCATCAGGGCCATAGGCCTTGGATTCCATACAAGGTCACCATGAATATGCACCCAATAAGCCTCTTTCACCTCAACCTGCAGCCAGGGGCAAGGAGGGGTCAGAAAGTATGTAAAAAAATTCTAAAAGTGGAAAGACAGGCAGGAGTGAGGGCAGTTTGTAAGATATCTACAAGTACTTCTAATATGAAAAGGCAACTTGGGGGAGAGATCTGATACGTGTCCTTCAAACTACATAACACAGATGTTTGACCACCATACAGTTAACCTGCCAAGAGGCATGATTCATATAAAAAAACAAAATGAATGGCAACCCGGAGAGGTGTAGTGCTGTAGCCCCCCACACACATAAACCTGACCCCCTTCCAAAAAAAATAGATCACACCCTCAACATATCCTGCATAAATTGTTATCAGTAACAAATTACTTTTGATTTGAGTAAAATAAAAATTATGTTCCAAACATTCTAAGTGCAAGTTCAGACCCAACTGGTATAGTTCATTTGTGAAAACAGTCTAATTTTTAAAAAATTATATACCTTTTGGGCCTTACTGTCTACCACTGAAATTGTTAAAATCAATTGAAAAACGCAGCAAAGGCCGAGAGAATTCAAAGAATTCAGCCACATCAAAGCTGGATCTGTCACACAAGCTGACCAGTCAGGAAGGTGTCAGCAGGGACAATGACTGGGGAAACTGAAAGGGAAACTCCCAATTCAGTGGTTCAGCTCAGATCCCAATAACAGGGTCTGTTTAAGGGCGTGTCCAGATTTCCTCCAAACGCCCTAATGAGAGGTGAGAAAGCAGAGAAGCCATGCTCCGGACTACACAGAACCCCAAAGTCAGCGTAAATAAACAAGCGCAAACCCCAGTGGTCATATTATACATAACCCCTGCAGGGTGAGCTTGGCATCGAAGGGCCAGTTCAGAGAGAAGTTTTCTGGTTGCGATGGCAGTTCCTCTCAGAGACCTGCATCTGGCATGGAACAACAGCCATCCCAAACTGCAGAAGATTCCGAGCACAGGGCAATAGCAGGCCCCGAGCTAATACTGCTCTTTCCTGCAGCCATGCTTCCATCGCCTGCCTCACTTCTTTTGAAACCCAGCTCATTTCCCCATGCCTGCCCAAACTGCCTCCTTCCGGGCCTCGGAGCCCAGAATTCCATGCCAACCCCGCATGGGCATGGCCAGATGCCACTTGGGACCGGTGCTTGGGGACATGGCCAGGCCCCAGGGAAAGCTGCTTCTAGGCTGAGTCACCACAGTGACCACCAGGTGTCAGTGGCGAGCAAGGAGACGCCCATCCTGAGTTTTCAGGGCACTTCAGCTGGCCTGGGAGCAGAGACAAGCAGCACTAGCTCAGATTCTTAGGTAGCACGCAGGAGCATTTCATTCACTTGCAATTCACCATGCAGCCTCAATGCGCAACTTCTAGGATGATTTTAACTCAATATCCTTCAGACGCTTAGACAAAAGGGGAAGGGCTGCCCGCTTCTGCAAGCCCTGGGGCTTTGCTCTTCTTCCCCCAGGAAAGTGAAGGCACAAAGCAGGGTTTCTGCTCCTTGCCAGTTCTCCCCATAGAAGCCATCAAGTGACTATTCTAGCAGTTTCTCTGTACACTGAGGCTCCAGATGTTTCGTTTGTAAGGCGTCAGCCACAGCTTAGGTGCCATTGGGTGTGGAGCATAGGAGGCAAAACCCAGCAAAGAAACTGGCCACTTCACTGCCTGCTCTGATGAGCTGGAACTGAACTGGTTTCTTCCATCGGGTATAATGTCTTTAACAAAAATATTGAATATATGGGTCACGGCAGTCACTAGAAAGCCTGTATATTATTGGTCATTTAAACCCAGGGTGTCAGCAAAACCCTGTCATACCTATATCTACTTCCCTCTGTAGGTGAGGACACTTCCTTTGGAACACACACGTATGCTGAGCCGAGCTTACTGTATTCTCAACAGCAAGCTCCTTCCAGGGTCCAAGTAGCCACTAAACATCACCCAGACCCCCAAAAAAATGCATCTATTCCCCTTGGCCTTTTCACAGCCAGAGACAGCCCTGCTGAGCACTGCCCCCTCCAAGAACTTGAGCTATCTGGCAGGTGCTTCCACGGTCATTATCCCCTTAACTTGAATCTAAGTGGGCCTGACTCCCAGTATCTCACACGCCAGGATGCTGAGAACAGAGGAGAAACACAAACTCCCTGATGAAGGACCCTTCCGAGTGCAGCTGAGATTTTGCAAATAGCTTCAAGACCCCATCTTGCCCAAAGAAACACTCAAAGGTTTTTATACTGCCTGGCGTCACTAGGGCCCCAAACTTGGAAAGACAGTTTCTAACTGGGGGACCAACGTTGGCCCAACTGTCCTTGGGACGATCTTTATTCACAAGGAGCATTACTCTCAGTGATGAGGGAGAGCTCAGGGGCATTCTGTGGGTACAGAGAATGTACAATGACAGTCAGGACAGTAGCTTAGCCAGGAAAGCGACTGTCCCCCTCCTTTTGTCTTCACTCACAGCCCCCCGTCACCTTCCACCCAACCCCAGCCACAACTTCCTATCCTGTGTCTTCCAAAAACAAGGGCTACCAGGTCTGGACAAGGAAACAATGTGCTACAGACAAGCTTGTGGGGATAAATTGCCAGTCTCACCATTTGTTGATGATAATAAACAGTGGCGGACGCTGCCCATGGAGGACGTGCTGCAGTTCTGCCAGAGGTCCATCGTGTGTCCGTTGCCCTCGATCCATTGCTAGAAAGAAGCGGACATCCTAAATCAGGCGAGGCAGCGAGGGGTGACAGAAAGGGGAGGGAGAAGACCCTGGGAAAGCAAAGGAGTGCCTCTTCAACCTGCCCGCCGGCCTGCCCTTGCCCTGCCAGGTGCTGCCCAGCCAGAGGCCACTGCCATGCTGGAGAGGAGAGAGGTGCTGGCCTGGCTCAGACACTGTCAGGGGAAGGCCAGGATTCGGCAGTGAAAAGCACTTTGCAAATGGAAAAGTGGCACATGCATGAGTTAGGATGTGCAGAGCTGTGTACTATGGTAGAGGGAGCCTGGGCCCGCTTCAAGCCTCCTCTCCACTGGACCTTCTGCTGTTTCCTTATTTATTTATAACTCCTGCCAACCTGACAAGACTACCGGGCACAATGAAATTGTGATGAACCCAGATGCTTATAAAATTCACAAATCGGGAACATAATTATTTCTCAACCTTTGTGACAGACAAGAAGATCCTTGACTGGGACCTGCCTTATATGAAGCAGTGAGAGCCACAGCCCCTCGATGCCCAGGTCTGTGCCCACCTTCTCAGCCAGGAAAGGAGCTTTTCTACATGAGCTCAGTGGTTTTATAACCCTCGTTGCCCTATATCCTCTTCAGACAGGGGCTCTTTTACTAAGAAGGTGATATATTCACATCACAAAGCAGACCTGGGGCTGTGAACTCTTTTTAAAAAAAGCCAATTTTAACCTCCCAATTTTAAGTCCTCATGGGTAAGTTTTGTGAACTAAGCTGCCTATCTGACCTAATACATGTGGGGAAAAAGCAAACCTTCATAATTATTCCACATCCTCAACAAACCTGCATCAGGGGAAAAAAAAACAAAACTGAACAACTTTACCAAGTAAAGGTCTGAGGCCCTGGATCTGCCCTGAAATTACTGGGCTTAGACAGAGGCCTGACAGCTAACCTAGTCCAGAGATGGCTTCCTTCATAACCCTTCATCTGCTCTGGTTTTCTCAAAGCAAGAGGCGTCAATTGCCCGAAACTGCAAAACACTAGGGAATTTCTGGGACTTCTTGCAAATAATCAAGCAGTCCTGCACTAGGGAGGCCGAGTTGGGGGGAGGGGGAGAGCACAGGCGGAATCCTGGCCTAAGGAGGCCCTAGCTTTGGTTGAGGACTGGATGCCCCCGACCCCTGCCCCGCCAGCCCACCCCGCTAGGCACTCACACTGACGATTGTGGAGACGAACAGCAGCACAAGCACTGCGACGTGCAGGACAATGATACCCAGCAGCAGGAGGAGCATTTTGGCGGCAAGTTGTGATCAGCGGAGTTTCTGCCTGCAGGAGAGAGCACAAGCTGGTGGTGAGGCCAAGCCGACTGGCCCCAGAGAACTCCAGCGAGGGCGGGAGGGGTGCGAGGGAGGTTCCCGGACGCGGAATGCCTGGCCTGGCCTGGCGCTGCGCCCGCACCGCCTCCCGGATGGGGCCCTGCACGCCCGGCGGCCGCCGAGAGGGGGCAGCAGCGTACCGTAGGAAGTCAGCCCAACCTCAGCAGGGAGGGGGTCCCCCTCCACAGAACATCCTCTGCTTTTGGAAAAAACATGTTCTAAGTCAGTCCAAGAGGAGAGGTTTTTCCAAAATGACAAGCAGAGGCCAGAGCCCGCCTCCACCCTCCCCGGCGCCTCCCGGGGCAGCCCGACTTGGGGAAGGGGTCAGAAGGTGGAGAGCATCGCTCCCTTAGGGAGTGAAAGTGGGGGCGGGGGGCTGGGCGCCCGGATTTCTGAGAGAGGCCTGGGGGCCGCAGGGGCAGGCTGGGCGGGAGAGCGCCTGGCAGGGAGTCGGTTTCCCAGATCCAGGCGCGCTCCGCATTCCGTTGGTCTCCAAGTTTCCACTCAGTTCTGCCAGCGCCCGGAGCCGTCCTGGCCCCGGCTCAGCAGCCAGAGACACTGGCGGGTCGGGGAGAGGCGCGGGGCGGCGTGGGGAGGGAAGAAAGGCGGAGCGAACCCCGGACCCGCTTCCCGCCAGCCTCGAGCCCCGCGCCCCCAGCCCCCTCCCGCAGCCCCGGGGCGGGGCCTCCAGCCGCGGCGCCCAGCGGGCCCTAAGCACGCGGGAGCCGGGAGACGCAGGCCTGGGACTGTGAAATCTTTTCTGAAAAAGCCAGTTTTAACTTTCCGCTTTTAAATCCTGAAGTTTTACATCTTAGTTTTGTGAACGAAGCCACCCATCTAAAGGGGCGGAGCGAATGTCGGTGGGAAGGAGAGGCAGAGGAGGGAAAGGGTCCCAGGAGAACTGCGCCCCTCATTTCAGGGAACCCCCGGGAAACTGGAGAGCGGGGTGACCTGTCAGAGGATAAAGTTGGGAGACCAGTTGAGTCTTTGGGGACTATTTCGGGACGAAGTCGGGGGCCAGATAGATGTTTCCTAACTCCGTTTTAAAGTACCCAACCCCAGGCCCCTTCCTTACCCTCCCTAAGCAACACCCTGAAAGAAACCCGCGGGATTGCACAGGGAGAAATAAGCGGTTTTCTGACGTCTCCCAGGATTTAAATAAATCCCGTGGCTCCTAGTGCCGGGGAGGGGCAGGAGGATGCTCGGGCATGCAGCTGGAAAGTGGGGTGCGGTATGTCCGCCGCAGGCACAGCCTTGCCAGTGAGCCCCGCGTAGGCTCCTTTCCAGCGAGGCAAAGACGGCTCCGCCCCTGTCCCACATCCAGACCCCAACACCCGCGCCGCTTAGAGTTACAGGTCAGCAGCACCCCACTCCGTATCCTTAAAACCTCCTTTAGGAACCGTAAGGGCAGGCCCTGGTCGTTCTGCCCGCGCCCCCGTAAGGAAAGCTCCGGGACCTGGCCCGCGGGAGGCGGCGCGGGCTCCGCGCTCTCCGGCCCCATCGACGGGAGATGCCCGAGTTTCTCCTCTGCCTCCTCCTCCTCCTCTGCTTTCCCCACCGAAGCACTCACAGCCCAGAGGGAGAGCGGTCCCGGTCCTCGGAGCGGCCTCGGCGCGGACTCGCTGAGCTGGGTTCTCTGCTGGCGGCCGGCTCCCCAAAGACAGCTGCCTGCGGGGCTTCGCGCGCCGAGCAGGGGCGGGCGGGAGGCGGCCGGCCTCCCCTTTAACGGGAGCTACGCCCTGTCTGCGCCGCCGCAGCGGGTGTGGCCCTGGCCCGCGTGTGCGGGGCGGGGTGGGGGTGGGGGGGCGGGACTGGGGAGGAGAAAGGGCAGAGAGTGGCGGGTGGGGGCCTGAGACAGTTATCCGTCTTCAGTGCGCCTCGGGAGAAAGTCAATCACTGCAAAACCGCTGCGACTTTTACAGGAAACGGGAAGACAGCGGAACCTTCTCACCTCCGCTTCCCCTCGCTCCGCCGCCGAGTTCATGGAAACCCAGCGCTGACCCACAAAGTGGCCCCTCCACCCCTCAGCCCACGGGGGGAAAGCCAGCCAGAGTTCCCCCCGCGGGTGCCCAGCGCTGGATTTGGGGGCTCACTCACGCAGGCTGAGTTCACTTAGGGACCCAGGCTGGATTACTCCCGGGGGGTGTGGGGTGTGGGGGAAGATGCCCAATCTACTCTCTGGGGTGTGGGGCGGCAATAGGGAGGGGAAGATGCCTACTCCTCTCAGTTCCTGGCACACCTGGCCTGCTCTGTGGTCTTAACAGGGCACATCTGCACCGCGCGCTCCGAGCTATCCGTGTCTGCACGCAGGCCGCGCTAGGATCGGAGTGGACCGATCTAACGGGCCCCTTTGGATGAGAGGGGCTGAGGGAGAGTCCCGGCAACTATGAGGCAGCCTGTCCTGGGGTCCATCCGCCCCCCCCCCCCGCCCTAGCCTGAATCGAATATGCTCCAAGCAAAGTTTGCCTGGCTTAGCTCCAAGGCTGGAGAGGTGGGGAGTTGGCCATTTGAGGTGGGGGAAGAGCAGCCAGGGAAATCAGCTGATTCATAGCTGCCTGAACTTGGTCCGCCTAGCGTCATGGAGAGGGACTAGCCCTTCCGGGCGGGCGTGGCAGAGATGCGCTCAAATAGCCACTCCTGCAGGCCAGCCTTGGTGTATGAACAGAGAGCCCCAGGGTGGATGTTAAGTGTCTTTGCCTAATAATGCAGCACACACACACACACACACACACACACACACACACGCGCGCGCGCACACACCTACCTACTATAAAATCTCATCACTTTAAATGATTCAAATCATTCCACATTATTTTACTATTTGAAAGTAGCTGCTTATTGTAGCTTATCATATATGCGTTCTTATATTTAAGTGAAAATAAGTTATTTGAAAAATTCTTCAAACAATAATCTTTTTAAAAATGTTATATTCTCAGATTTAAAAAAAAAAGAATCATAGTAAAAATTGTATTCAATGTCCATCATATGACAGGCACTTTAGCAGGACTTTGCACTTGTGAGAGGCGGTATGGTCCGAAGGTTAGGCACTGTGGCTCTGGGCTCAGCCACACCTGATTCCCCTGCTTTCTCAGGGTTCATGAATTTGGGGAATTAGCTGACATCCATTGAGCATCTGCTTTCTCTCTGCAAAGAGGGCTAATAGTAAAATGTGAAGCAGCAAGCATAGTATCTGAGACATAATAAGGCCCAATGCCCAGCACATTGTCACCATTCTTATTATGACATCACATGTGATGCCAACAACAAGTTCAGGGGCAAGCCCGACTGCCCTGAACTAAAATAGCTCTTAACTCCCATCCACTGAAAACGCATATGCAAGGAGAATGACTAATGAAAACTAAGTGGGTTTTTTTTGTTTGTTTGTTTGTTTTTATTTTCTCCCTGGGTCATTTTACAGTCAGGCTTGCCCTAGGAGTTATTGCTTTGCTTTATGCCACTTAGACTTTTATTTAACTTACTATTTTTAATATATTTTATTGATTTTTTTTTTTTTACAGAGAGGAAGGGAGAGGGATAGAGGGTTAGAAACATCAATGAAAGAGAAATTAACTTATTATTTAACCAACATTTATGCAATTACTATGTACCTAGTACAATGTTAAGCACTTTACAAATATTAGTATATTTAACTCAGAATTATTTTTTTCTCTTCCCTTTTCCCCACCAGTAAACTGTCAAATGAAATAAACATCTAGAAAATGTACACATTGTAAGGCAGAGCTCAGACCTTCCTTTCTTTTGAACCCAATATTTTAATCAGCACCAGGTCGCAGCTGCGCTGTGGGCTGTGGACTGCGAACACAGCCGTCCTCAGGGCCTCTCCTGTCTTCTGCCTGCTGGGCTCCCAGTGGTGAAGGAGGCTCAGTGCAGGGTGAGCGAGCTCTGCCACACCCAGGGCGGGCCAGGGCACAGCTACAGGTGGGAGCTTCTCTCCAACATCACCTGCCAGTGTCTAGGCAGTACTGGTTCCCATCAGGAAAAGACCATCTGGATCCCCCTGATTCCTTCAAACCGATGTACCGGACTTTCTAGATGCCCTAAGAGGGTCGTTCTCACCACCCCAGCCAGAGTGTACGTCCAGCTCTTAACCCAGGATTAAAAATTTCTCTGACTCCGCAATCAATTCCAACACAAACGCAGTTCCCACTGTAATCCTTTCCTTTTGCATTCTGCAAAAGGGACTGGGGGATTGGGCAACAAACACTCTATAAAGCATAGTAAGTATACGCCTCCCAGAGGCACAGTTTGCAATAAAACTCACCGGCCAAACAGTGTAACTCCTTCCTCCACGCGGCTTCCTTTGCAGTCAAACGCAAAGGGTGCAGAGGCAAGGCCCTCCCACAGGGCAGCAGAGAGGCCTGCAGCTGGCAGACCAAGCCCGCTGCTTCTGACCAGGCTCCCAAGATGCTGCCTGATGGTGTTCCCTGTCACTGAGAGCCGAACCAGGCGTCCTTCCAGTTATTCAGGGGCTGGTCCAATGCTGGGATATGTCATGGTGGCCTGAGAGCATCTCAGCCTCCACTATTTAAAGAGACAGTGCCCAGCTTTGCAGAACATGGTGATCCTAAGAGCCCTGCAGGGCATGCAGAACCTGAAATCAACAAGATGAGCCCTTTGTGTGCCCAAAACCTGGGTTGCCAAGGCTATTCTCACAGGAAGTGCCAGCTTGTGTAACAGCAAAAAGGTCTCCTGAGTTTTCAGTGTCCAGTGAATCCTGTAAAGATGAAATACAATGTGTGGAGGTCCATGTCCATAGTGGTATACGTGTGCAGACAGATTTTATTTTTAATCAACAATATTCCAAGGAGCTGAGGCATTGCACAGATCACCTCTCATGGCATCACCCCAGGGGACCAAATGTCTCAATGTCATTCATTATAAAGTGTTGACCTTCA